TGCTGATGATACTGTGCTTATGGGAGATTCTAAAGAAAAATTACAAAGGTTAGTGGATGATTTTGAGAATGTGTGTAAAGGTAGAAAGTTGAAAGTGAACATAGAAAAGAGTAAGGTGATGAGGGTATCAAATGATTTAGATAAAGAAAAATTGGATATCAAATTGGGGAGGAGGAGTATGGAAGAAGTGAATGTTTTCAGATACTTGGGAGTTGACGTGTCGGCGGATGGATTTATGAAGGATGAGGTTAATCATAGAATTGATGAGGGAAAAAAAGGTGAGTGGTGCGTTGAGGTATATGTGGAGTCAAAAAACGTTATCTATGGAGGCAAAGAAGGGAATGTTATGAAAGTATAGTAGTACCAACACTCTTATATGGATGTGAAGCTTGGGTGGTAAATGCAGCAGCGAGGAGACGGTTGGAGGCAGTGGAGATGTCCTGTCTAAGGGCAATGTGTGGTGTAAATATTATGCAGAAAATTCGGAGTGTGGAAATTAGGAGAAGGTGTGGAGTTAATAAAAGCATTAGTCAGAGGGCAGAAGAGGGGTTGTTGAGGTGGTTTGGTCATTTAGAGAGAATGGATCAAAGTAGAATGACATGGAAAGCATATAAATCTATAGGGGAAGGAAAGAGGGGTAGGGGTCGTCCTCGAAAGGGTTGGAAAGAGGGGGTAAAGGAGGTTTGTGGGTGAGGGGCTTGGACTTCCAGCAAGCGTGCATGAGCGTGTTAGATAGGAGTAAATGGAGACGAATGATACTTGGGACCTGACGATCTGTTGGAGTGTGAGCAGGGTAATATTTAGTGAAGGGATTCAGGGAAACCGGTTATTTTCATATAGTCGGACTTGAGTCCTGGAAATGGGAAGTACAATGCCTGCACTTTAAAGGAGGGGTTTGGGATATTGGCAGTTTGGAGGGATATGTTGTGTATCTCTATACGTATATGCTTCTAAACTGTTGTATTTCTTAGCACCTCTGGAAAAGCAGTGATAATGTGTGAGTGTGGTGAAAGTGTTGAATGATGATGAAAGTATTTTCTTTTTGGGGATTTTCTTTCTTTTTTTTTGGGTCACCCTGCCTCGGTGGGGACGGCCGACTTGTTGAAAAATATATATATATATATATATATATTATATATATAATATATTATATTTTATATATATATATATAATATTTATATATATATAATATATATATATATATTTTATATTATTATATATATATAATATATATATATTTTATTATAAATATATATATATAATATATATATATTACACAGTGGGAACCTCGGCTTACACGTTTAATCCATTCCATGACCTTGCTCGTTTCCTGATCTGCTCGTATGCTGAGTCAATTTTCCTCATTTAAATTAATTGAAATGCCATTAATCCATTCCAGAGGAATTCCTGATCTTCGGAGACAGGAATATGACGCTAATATCAACTCTACAGCATATTTATCTATCTCAATTCATCTAGTATGACATAATAAACATTATAAATAACATAGAAGCCTGATATATACTCTAGAATGAATAAAATATGTCATTATGTGTCAAGCAGCGGTGGCCATTCCATACCACAAGCAGCTGCCTTGTTGTGGGTCAGTGGGGAAGACCTTCCGCCATCCCCCGACACCACCATACGTGTTCAGTTCCACTTCTCTCCTAAAAGCTAGGTGTTTGTGAACTGTGTTTTGATCTTTTAATTACTATAAGATAAGATAAGATTTCGTTCGGATTTTTAACCCCGAAGGGTTAGCCACCCAGGATAACCCAAGAAAGCCAGTGCATCACCGAGGACTGTCTAACTTATTTCCATTGGGGTCCTCAATCTTGTCCCCCAGGATGCGACCCACACCAGTCGACTAACACCCAGGTACCTATTTGCTGCTAGGTGAACAGGACAATAGGTGTAAGGAAACGTGTCAAAATGTTTCCACCTGCCAGGAATCAAACCCGGGCCCTCTGTGTGTGAAGCGGGAGCTTTAGCCACCAGGCAATCATGACACCCAGTAGTCATACCAGTGTTGCTGAATTGCTTATTTACTTGACTGACTGACTTGACTGACTGACTTACTGGCTTGACTGACTGAATGACTTGACTGGCTGACTGAATGACTTAAAGTTTGACTTTTTCAATGAAGAGGACCCTGAAACAGTATCTAGAGCAGCTGATGCCTTACCATCAGTTGTATAATGTACTGCAGGGTAAAATAGAACAGAAATACATTACAGAATTTATGCACACTCCAGTACAACCACAGACTTCTGTACCAGAATCTCTACCATCCACCTCAGCCCAGTTGGACCACAGCATAACTCTCCACTCTCTTCACAATCATCGACAAACACCAGCACCTACAATTTAAGGTAAGAAATACTCTTATTTTTGTTGCGGTTAAAGTCTTAAGCAGTAAAAACAACATAATACATCATGACAATGAACTATAATTATATATTCACTTTTGCTTTTGTAAGATCTGGAGGTCTAAAAAAAAGCTGTTGGTGGGGGAAACTCGCATCCTAAATTTTTGCTCATATCCAGAAACAAAAAAATCGACTGAGTGACTGCTTGTATCCTGAAAAACTGGTATGGTGGGGCACTCATAAACCGTAGTGGGACCCCGAGTTTCGGCCGCTTCGAGTTTCGACCGTTTTTGCTTAGAGTTTCGACTGTTTTTTTCGACCATATTTTGTCCACCTGCCCGCACTTGCGCGCCTCCCACGCAAGCGTTGTGAGCCAGTCTAGCATTGTTTATCCTTGAGTGAACATTACCCTGCATGTTCATCCAAACATTTCATAAATTCATTATGTTTAGTGCTTCTTCATTAATTGTGACTGTGAAATGAGCCACCATGGACCTAAAGAAATTTCGTAGTGGCAGCCTTGTGGTAAAGAAAGTGAGGAACGCCATTGCAGTGAAGAAGATAGCAGAAAAATATGAGAGATGTGTTCGTGTGGGGGAGCTTGCCAGGATGAACGGCAAAAACAAATCAACTATCACTTCTATCTTGGCGAAGAGAAAAGAACTCAAGGAAACTGATGTTGCAAAAGGTGTTGACATGTTATCCAAAAATAGATCACAAACAGTCGAAGAGGTTGAGAAGTTGTTGGTGGTTTGGATCAACAGGACTTTGAGACAAATGTGGCCACAATGTGTCGTCCAAAGTGATTTTGAAGGGTTTGAGGCTGACCCTGACCATGCCGATCCTCTGCCTGTTGTGGACACTATTGTGGCATTGGGCATGGGGTTGGAAGTGAGTTGGTGGAGGACCAAAGAAGGCCAAAGAAGAAAGAGTTGGTGGAGGACCAAAGGGAAGAGCTAACCACTACAGAGCTGCAAGAGCCTCATCTGGAACAGTAACAGGCCACAGCTGAGGAACTTGCTTCAGAGGAGGAAGAGGGAATGAAGAAGGTACCTTCTTCATTGATTAAGGAGATTTGTGTAAAGTGGAATGATGTGCAAAGTTCTGTCAAGAACTACCACCCTGAGCAGCCTGAAACTAGCTATCTGTGCAACAAGTTCAGCGACAGAACCATGTCCCATTTTAGGAAAATCTTAAAGAGATGCCAGAAACAGAGCACTCTTAACAGTTTTGTGCAACAGGGGTCCAGTGACTCTTAAGCAGGTCCCAGTGGCATTAAAAGACAAAGAAGAGAAGTAACCCCAGAGACGGCTTTTATACCTGAAGTCCTTATGGGAGGGGATTCCCCGTATGAACAATAAGTCCTCTCTCTCTCTCCTCCTCCCTATCTTCCAGATGCCAGCAAGTCTCTTCAATAAAGGTAAGTAAATGCTATTTTAAATATTTATTTAAATTTTAATTTATCTATTGCATTACTAATTTATGTATACTATATGTATTTATGTGGTGTGTGTATGTAAAACTATAGTTATTCTTTAAAAAATGTATTATTTGTGAATATTTTTGTGGGTCTGGAATAGATTAATTGTATTTACATTATTTCTTATGGGAAATATTGCTTCGACTTTCGGCCGTTTCGAGTTTAGGCCTAGCTCCTGGAATGAATTACGGCCAAAACTCCGGGTTCCACTATATATATATATATATATATATATATATATATATATATATATATATATATATATAATATATATATATATAATAATATAACTATATATATATATATATATATATATATAAATATATATATATATATATATATATATATATATATATATATATATATATATATATATAATATATATATATATAAATATATATATATATATATATATATATATATATATATATATATATATATATATATATATATTATATATATATATATATATATATATATATATATATATATATATAATATATATATATATATATATATATATATATATATATATATATATATATATATATATATATATATATATATATATATATAATATATATATGCAATAAGATCACAGTAAACAGGTGATTTCAGAATATGCAAAACAACCACTCTGAAAGAATAGATAAATTCCAAGCACTTTCGTGACTGCTCACATTATCAAGGAACTATCATAGTTCCTTGATAATGTGAGTAGTCACGAAAGTGCTTGGAATTTCTCTATTCTTTCAGAGTGGTTGTTTTGCATATATAATATATATATATATATATATATATATATATATATATATATATATATATATATATATATATATATATATATATATATAATATATATATATATATATATAGCTGATATATCCGGGACCTCCAAACCCATTCAAGACCTTCCCTGCCATCCATCCATGACTTCCTTTAGTTATCCAGAGTCTATATAACCTAGCCAGAATCTCCCTAACTTACCAAAAGCTCTCGAACTTATCCTGGACCTCTCTAGCTTAGATTGTTAGGTAATTCTACCAGTATTAAAGAACTAGCTTACCTTGCAAATTATTAACCAATCTCTCTAATCTATCAAAACGTATCTCACCTATCAAGTTGCTTCACGTATCCAGCACGTGTCTCACCTGTTCATGAAGTCCAAAGTAATCTGATCCATGACAGGCAGGTAGGCCACCACTTCCTTGATTCTCATCATTAAAGGTTGAACTCTGCTGCGTACCCTCCACCACTCCTCGCCATTCCTGGAACAACATAATCACTTAACTCAAAATACAGATACGTTTCGGTGGCTTCTTTGTCAGGGATAAGTATTCTCATGTATCTGATAGACCTGGCCTTCTCTACACTAATTCACTCAAAATAAATAGTACAGCCATTGATGCATCTAAAGCAGTTAAATATCAGCGTTGAAGTTTTGATGCCAACGAGAAGGAACAAGGACAAGGATATAATTTCAATTTCCTCAATAGAAACTGGAAAGCGTGGGACCTACACAGCCGAAAGCAATTCTTACTTTCCATTAAGTAAGAAACATTAGCTCTGAATATTTAGAACTAAGCAGAAGAGGCATTCTCTAGTTATCGCACAGAGACCAAGAAATTATTCCCACAATCCCATACAGCATAAGTGTTCCCGGGTTTGAGTCAGCATGCAGAGATTAATAGCTTCGATTGAGACTTACACGATATCAAGTGCAGTGATGAGGGTCACTATAATTCTAAAATCCCGGCCAGGCTTGGATGCGATCACGAGTTCGAATCCTTCACAGGTTGACTATGAAGTGTAAAAGAAATATAATCATACACAATCACACACACACACACATGTATGAAGTAATTATGTAATACAAACGTACTCTGTCAACAGTCCCGTTTTATTTTCAAAATAATTGTCTGCAGCGTCCCGTCTGATCTTCTTGTAAGACTCGAAACCATCCCTGACTGGATTGTTCATGGTGGCTCGTACGAGAGCCTCTGTGTCGTAAGGATTCGCTACGACTACCGCCGGCGGCATGAATGGGAGTACAAATTTAAAGATGGGGCCATACGTCTTCATCATCTTTAGGAGGTAGAGGTGAGGAGCATTTACCCTGAAGGCTGTGAAGAAAAAGATGCCAATATTATCCTTACATACGTTTCTTTTTCACAAAAAAGCGCAAAACCGTGTGTGTCATTCTGCCTGGATAAAGATACAAGTAGCTGATGGTATATAATAGCGACAAGTTGATAAGACACGTGTGACAGCTAGATATCCCTCTCAGCCGGGAGAAAAGTTCACCTCTATATTCAGGAACCATGTGAAGCTGAAGTATGAGTATGGAGTGACGCAGAAAATCCCGAGGACGACACAGAAGGCTGAGTCCACTAGTAGAAGCAAGAATGTAAGATTTGAGAGGCACTGTAACAAGCCTACTGCTCCATGCTAAGCATGTCACTCTCAAGTTCAACCTTTCTCACTCGTAACTAGTGGTTAGGCAGTAAAGTTGTTTAAGATGCCTTCTGTACCAATATACAATGATACCTAAAGTCAGTACCTGATCAGCTTGGCTATGGTTCGTACGTTGAATGGAGTGCGGCCAGTAGTAACAGCCAGGTTGATCAGGCCCTTATCCACCGGGAGGCCTGATCAAGGACTGGGCCGCGGGGGCGTTAACCCTCGGAGCGACCACTGGGAAGACCGTTGTGTTACTGTTTCAGACGGGCACAATTATGTAAATGATATTTAATACCGACAAGGCTGGATTTGAGAGGGACTTGTTTAGAATGGGTCAGTAGGCTTGCTATAGTGCCTCAATTCTTACGTTCTGGCTTCTAGTAGTGAGCCCCGCCTTCATCGTCTTCAAAGTTTTCCGCGCCTCACCTTTGACAGTATATACGTCTCACACTGTTCTAGACTCTGGAACTGAACTCTTCTCCAGGTTAAGGGACTGGCCACCTCATAACAACTAATTCCAAGATAGACTGATCACATTTTTACATCACTACTTTTGCTGTCTCCTCTGTATTCAACTGAAGCCTACTGTATGGGTGGTCTGGAGTTTTATGAGTAATCGCCGTTCTAACCCCGCCCGTGGTATGTTTTTTTTTTTTTTTCAACGATTAATATACTCAACTGTTGTACACGTGTCTTGCTCAATGATATGCAAATGTGTTATAAATTTCGAAAAAAAAAAAACAACTTCTGGGAAATCATTTTGACAGCGACTTAGGGAAGCAATGTGTAATATTTTTTGTGGTTAAAAAGTATGTAAACCAAGCTCTTTCTATATTTTAAATTTGTTTTTGCTGTGATGTCACAGGTATCTTTCTTCAATTAATCAACCTCCAGCTGTTCTCATTATGATGCCAGTGGTATTATCAGTCAGTCAATTATCAGCTATTCCTGCCATGATGTCACAGATATCAGTTGTTCCTGATGTGATATCAGAGCATAATTTTCAATCACCCATTATTCTTCTTATAATATCAGAGGTATTGTGGAAAATAATTTTCCCAAAATTATGCTGTATATTTTTATAATGTAAATATACCTGATTAATACATTACTATTGTTCTAAAGTGTATTTTAAAGAAGAGAATCGACAGGGAAGCTCTGCACCTGCGCAGACGAGCAAGGAGAGATGCCATTGTTTTTTAATGTGGTACAGGCACGCTAATGAAATGTGCATAAATTTCTTCGCTCTGTAAGCTAAATTATGTTTGAAACTTCCCAAATAGGAGCTGGAATTGTTGGATTTGCAGTCCTGCATAATGTGAGCATTAAGCAGATGGAGAGGACAGCTTAGAAACCCCCGCTAAGTCGTTGTCTATTTATGTTGAGATTCTGGCCAATATTTTCTTCATATTTAGGCAAAGGGGTTGGTATGACACACCGTAATCTCCAGACTAATTGGTGAGTCTTATTATTATAAATTCTCCTTCAATGTATATGTATTCACATTTTAAATTTAATATACAGTCCACATATTTATATTAATGCTTTTACCAGAATTCCTGGTGATGTATATTTCATTTGAAATTAATATAGGTCCAATGACTTGTGGATATGACAGTAGTAGGTATCGAAGGGGGACATTTTTTTGCGACCTAGGTGTCCTAAAATTCCTACTTGTCTCTGTAACCTTGATAAAGAATAATTATCTTTGTTACCATTTACTGGTATGTATCTTATGAGTTACATCCAGGTAAATTTAATTTTCCACAGGTATCCTCTATCAATCAGTCAACAACAGGCCTTACTATAACGTACTCTTGTCAAAGATCATGGAGGGCAAAGTGCCCAGGAATGGGAATACCCGGGGTCCTGGCACTTCATATACAGGTTTAGGCTCAGAGATTCGTTGCTCTGCTGCTGCCACCTGGTGTGTTGCAGCTGTGGTAGCGAAGCCTCGGGACAACGCTGGTGGGCGCCACAAAACGCTCACCATCATACGCCTCGTCACAGTCGACATAACCTGTTGGAAGTCCTTAGATTAGTTATACAGTGTAATTAAAGCACAAGGAACCAGGAGATAGTCTGCTAGGTTTAAAGTATATCGGCTATAAGAGGGACATTAAGGACACTATTAACCTGTTCGCCAACAATCAAGAATAATTGAAATCCTAAAATATGGAGTTAATAAAACCCTTATTATTATTCACCGATACACACCTCTCGATGTACAGCCTATACACTCTACGTTAATTAACTTTGCGTGCTGAGCCATAAATACAAAACTCCAGAGACAACTGCTGTATAGTCCTTGTGGCTTAGCGCTTCTTTTTGATTATAATAATAATCCAGAGACAAGTGTATTAAGTGATAATGGAATTCTTGAAATTCTTACACAAACACACATTAGATGCAGGCAAGGATTAACACTGACTATGAAGATGACAAAATAGTAAACAGAAAAAAATAACGTCACTAACAACTGTCTTCGGCGACTAGTACAAGAGTGCAGTTGTTCCACTAGAGGAGGATAGCACACACGTCTCCAGATGTGCGAGTCAAGTTTCACGGCATTCTTTATTTAGAGATCAAAGGCAGTATTTTTAGATAAGATAGATTACTAGACACAAGTTTCCTTTATCACTAGCATTCCTTTATAACAATGCTCATTTGAATGACGAGAAAGGGAGAATCACCTTACTCCTACAGCAATAGGTACCTAGTAATTATTACTGTTGTGGGTCATATCCTTAAGGATGGTTCATGGTTGTCAGATTTAAACACAGCTCTTGACGAATGAATGTTTGTTAGTAAATTACAAAACTTGTTGAATGTGTTGAAAAGAGGAAGAGGGTTCCCCTATACCCCAGAGAGAGAGAAGGGCGAAGGAGCCAGAGAAAAACCGTTTCCCAGAAACAAAGGCCTTCTCTCAAAGCACAATGCCGGAACCATCTCTTCACATTCAGTAAGTCCAGTTTTACTTAGATGCTAGCTAACTTTAGTGGATCTTAGCTTATTAATAATAACTTTTCCAGTTATTTCGTTGTTCCTCAGCACTGCTTGCATTGACGAGTAACTTATCAGTCAAGGTGCTATAGTTTCTGTTTGCTGATAATGTTCTGAAATCACAAGTCGAGTTTTCATCACAAATCTGGCGCCACTCTGGCTGGCCCGGGCCATTGGCTGTTCTTAAACTCTCATGCTAGTCAGATTTCCTTAAAATTGAAAATCTTTGGGAAGGAAGGTGGTGGCAGTTGTCTTTAGTCAGTTATTATATAAAAAAATTTAATGTACACATCTTTAACCCAACAATTACTATCATTATTTATTTAAATTAGGGGAAGAGCTAAACCTGTAGGAGTCATATATTGCCTGAGATATAAAGCATTCAAGTTCGATCCAAACGGAAGAATAAGTCCGGTTCCCTGGATTAAGAGCCCATCACGGGCATTAAGTTACCTCCCTATATACTGGGAATTATATAATTATTATAATCATGGGGAGCGCTAAACCCGTAGGATTATACAGCGCATGTGAGGTGAAGGGATGGAAGGTATTCAGGTTCAATTCAGGGAGCCGGGGCACGGATCCAATTCCCTAGATCAAGAGCCCCTCACCAGCGTCAAGGAACCTCCCTCGAGGGGTCACCTAAAGCAGTAAATAGGTACCTGGGTGTTTGCAGACTGCTGTGGGTCGCAATCTCGGGGACAAGACTAAAGGATCCACAATGGAAAGAAGTCAGACTCCTTTTAATTATTAGGCTATCTTGGGCGGCAAATCCTCCGGGATAAACACCCCAACAAATATTATCTTATCTTACCATCTGCGGTTTGATGCCTTGAGGGGTAAGGGTCACCCAGCTCCTGGGAAATGGGAGGTAATCAGATTTAACCAGGGAAGGATAGCTTTAATTAACGTGGTTATTCTACTTCAAGGAAAGGATAGCTTCTGAAATGAAGGAATGTGAAAGCATGACCAAGGTACCATCTGAGAGGTGAGGGTTGGGTAGCAGGTCAAGCTAATCGAAAAAGGGGCTATGGAGAGGTGTGGAAACTAGGGCATGTTACAAAAATAGAAGCTTAAGTACTCTGATAGTAATCCTCTTATCATTATTACCTTATCAGTTCAGTATTCGTCAGCTGAGACCGCATTAATTACGCATATCGTATAAAAGTATATATCGCATATTTTTACCATCATATAACCGGAAGTTTTAATCTGTAGCCCTGGGTTTCATTATAATCATTACGTGGGTACAACAAGCCTTCATTTTGCGTTTATTAAGCATACTGTTAAAACTTATGTCAACAACACTTTCGTGTCAACAAAACCTCATGTGTTTATTTACGCCTCAAATTTGATCGACTAGCATCTCTCTTTAGAACACTGGGCAGGTCATCAGGTGCCAACACTCAGTTGCTCACAATATTAACCTGTTATGGACTTACTAATAAAGAAGTGGTGCAGTTAGCGCTCTGAAAGGATGAAGTACCTCTCCCTCCCACTACCAAGAACTAACTGACACCCTGCAGGACCTTGAACAAGATTAGCACGTTGTTTACAGATACCGCCAGATTATTTATTCTTTTTGATATTGTTTTCATGATTTGTTTCAGCCGGTAAACTACAGACTGTGAATTGAAACTATCACTCTTATTTGAAAAACGAATATTATTCTTACCGTGCTGGTTTATCAAACCTTCCGATATACATATATATTATATATTATATATATATAATATATATATATATATATATATATAATATATTATATATATATATATATATAATATATATATATATATATATATATATATATATATATATATATAGTATATATATATATATATATATATATATATATATATATATATATATATATATATATATATATATATATATACGTATATATATATATATATATATATATATATATATATATATATATATATATATATATAGGTTATACATTTAAATATAATAATATATATATAATATATATATATATATATATATATATATATATATATATTATTATATATATATATATATATATATATATATATATATATATATATATATATATATATATATATAATATATATATATACTATATATATGCCCAGTCCTGTGAGAGCAGGACATTGTACGCATCACTCTATCCAATGGACCAACAATGAGAGCGATGTATACATTGTCTTGTTCTCACAGGGTTGGGCATGATTATGCAGGATCGAATCTAGTATTTCAAAATAATTTTTTTCGTGATTTCATATATACATGTGTGTATATATATATATATATATATATATATATATATATATATATATATATATATATTATATATATATATATATATATATATATATATATATATATATATATATATATATATATATATATATATTATATATATATATATTACCACACTGGCCGATTCCCACCAAGGCAGGGTGGCCCGAAAAAGAAAAACTTTCACCATCATTCACTCCATCACTGTCTTGCCAGAAGGGTGCTTTACACTACAGTTTTTAAACTGCAACATTAACACCCCTCCTTCAGAGTGCAGGCACTGTATGTATATATATATATATATATACATACGATTTCGTATACCATCGAGGCAGGATGACCTAAAAATAAAAAAGGAAAGTTTTTATTTTTAAATTTAGTAAACATTACAGAAGGGGTTACTAGCCCCTTTCTCCCATTTAAATTATATGTAATCCTTCATATTAATAGAGTCGAATGTGCTCATTGTTAACTTAAACTTTCGTACGCCCAGGAAGGTTCTACAATGTTCTATTTAGTGTTTAGATGAATCCTTCAAACTTTTCTTAAATACTGTCTACAGAAATCTTGAATATCACTAATTATGACTGTTCCTTGGAATCCGGAATATTCCACATAACATGTTGAATATTCCTTAGTATCTTCCTTAGTATTCCGATTATGCCTTATATTTTTTGGATTATCCTAGGTAATTTACACTATGTATTGTAATTGTATTTGTGTGTACCTGTGCCTAAATAAACTTACTATTAGTCCGAGAATTCATGAATTTTTCCAAAGTATTTCGAGTATTCCTTACCGCCTAAACCTCTTGGGCTGTAATCACCCAAAACTAGTTGCAATCAATGATTGCAGTCGCCTATACTTGTGTATCTGTACCTGTACGGTACCCTTATGCAGCTGTCCCTAAATGGGCTTACTACTATTCGTTATATAGAATGGTATACCTCAAGTAACAGAAACTAAGAAATTGATAATCAACAGAAACATACTCTCACCCACAAGGAGTGCTAAACTTCCCAAAATTTCACACATACGACGATACCGACAGGTAATACGTGTTTTCGACGGCCGAAACGTGCAAGACAGGTGCGGAGAACGCTGCTCTAACATCAAATCTTTATGAGGCCCCTGGCATAATAAGCAATCCTGCGATTATGTTTATCACTCTGCTTAAGATTGTGCGCATTAGATTTCACTAAACAGCTGTCGAATTTGTACAAACAATACATCTAGGGGAGTACAAATAGGAAACACGTTTGTCTCGCTCTCACGAGACAGGATCAAGCCTCCACCATGCCTTGCGCTGAATAACCCACATGGGTTAAGCGCTTAACATTAAATAAATAATGTACAAACAATGACTTGAATTGTACAAGGCACTCCTAAAATGTTTCAAGAGTGAGGATTCAATTATATTTTCCTTTCCACAGGGAACCAGTTGGATACAATGATCTGAGCAGCTGCCCACGCCGGTGGGTGATTGCAAGTACTGACGTTAAGATAGCACTCAACTCCTGGCCTGTCCTGATTGGGTATTAATGTTGGGTTCTGGTTTCTAGTGCTTTACCAGTTTGTCCAATTTATTGCTTCAATTTCGTTAACTTCTTTTCTAACAAAGGTTTTTAAACTTCTGTTTGAGACACCAAAATTCAACAGTCTTTTTGTTTTTTTGCTAATTTAGCCAAGACATCGACTTTACCATGCTATTTGAAGTCTGTGAGAGGGAATCACAAATGTTAACTTTAATTCGTTTGACAATAATTTAATATCTGTTTCTGGCCTCATACATAAGCATGTTACATTCAGATATCAGGTTATTTAGAGGAAATAATAAGGGTGACAGAGACAGTTAAACTGGCTGTAGTTTCTTCTATGTAGGCTTGGTTATTGCTGCACTAAATAATAATGTATATATACTAATGACATCTGCATGTCAAAGTATTTTATCCACAGTCGCATATTACCAACCTTTCTTGAAAAATATCCTGACTTTGCCCTTTGTAAATAACGCGTAACCATTTATTTTTTTTTACATGCATACCTTCCTAAAATATAATTTAATATTTTGTGACCTAATTCATGCCTGCATAAATAACTCATTAAGATTGTAACCAGATATAAACATGTAAATAGTTTATTACCATTAACTTTGCGGTCCAGTCCCTGGACCCATTATGTACCTCCATAATCTTTTGACATTATTATTATTATTAAAGATTCGCCGGTATTCTCCCGGCCCGGGCCTTTTCCAAGTGGTGGTCCGGACTTGGCTTCCTGTCTAGGGAGTGTCTGAGACCTAAGTCTCCCATGGGAGGAGGCATAAGTACCCCCTCATCTTTGGGACCAACTGTCCCCAGGCCTAGCCACATTCCCCGCCCTCACGGGGCTCGTAGGGAGAAGCTAGGCCTCTCTGGTCTGCCATCCCCGCCCCAAGGGGGCTAATGGGAACGGCAATCTTGTGAGCTGAAAGCTCTAGCTCAGGCACCTACCTGGTGGTTAACGCTCTCGCTTCACACGGTGAGGGCCTGGGTTCGATTCCCAGCCAGAGTAGAAACATTGGACGTGTTTCTTTCCACCTGTTGTCTATGTTCCCCATCAGTAAAATGGGTACCTGGGTGTTAGTCGACTGGTGTGGGTCGCATCCTGGGACACTGACCTAAGGAGGCCTGGTCACAGACCGGGCCGCGGGGGCGTTGACCCCCGGAATTCTCTCCAGATAAACCCTAGAAGGGCTGGGCATGGTGTCGATGTAGTAGTAACTGATCTTTTGGCTTTTTTTTTTATTTTTTTTTTAAAGATTCGCCGGTAATCTTTTGACTACCGTCCACAGGATGGGTATGGTGTGCATAATAAAGATATTAAACTAACTAACATCAGTATGGATCAACATTTTTATAGAGTTTGACTTCACAGCTTTATCACACCCAACGGATATATCAGAAGGGTCCACAAATAGATATATATAAAAAAAACCGGCGTATATGACAGGCAAAATTTATGACTTTTTTTTTTTCCTGAAATCCCTTTGCTTTGTCCCTAAAAAAAAATATGTTCTACATTTTCATAACATTGTTAATAAAACAACCGAAGAATTGTGAAAAATTGGTTTTACGCATAAAACATATAGTAAATAATAGACAATTAAGTGAATATGCTTAACCTGTGAGGGTCATTTTTGTTTGAAGACATTTTCTTTTATAATTTACATTATATCAGCCACAGTTCTTTTATCATAATTAGAAGATATACACAGTATCAAGATTCCATGACTTGCTGAATAGAATACCAACAAGTTGATGAAATAGAGCACATGTGTAACGTGTGTACACGTGTTTTACTTCGTCATTTGTGCTGGCGCTGTATACCATTAATTCAATGATACATGTCTGGCATAGAACCGTCCTGGAACCTTGATACTGAGGATATCTTCTAAAAGTCTACTGCCCACCTCTAGCAAAACTCTTGGGTACTGACCAACTTCCACAAGTGAGTTCCGCCCACCTTGATGTCTTCAATTACTGAATCTCTCTTCTGGCCTCCGGTATATAAGCTTTAGAAAGCTCTATGAAAGCTAAGGAAATGATTACCTTTCAAGGCCAAGGGACTAAACACCTCAAAATTACCTATACTTCTACCGTCTTCAAAATTATTTTTTTTATTGAACAGAGGTCACTGACTGGGAAAAAATCTACATAAAAGAGGTATCCAAGTGTTTCACATGTATTATTTTATCAGAGTAGTTTTATTTGCAAATATACAAGTAATTATTTTTCTGGATTATTTTGTTTTCCGTTACACAAGTTATTTCCACTCATTCCAAGTTTGAAATTGATTTATTATGGAAGAGAGTTGAACTTTTTCACAAACATATCTATATAATGTATCATGTGAGATACACCTACCATATAAAACACACCATATACAATTTCATCAAAAGAGGGGAGCAAAAAAATAAATCGTAGCAATTCTCGTAGCTATCAAAGAGTGCCTCGCCCAGTAGTTAGGCGGCGTCTCTCACAGTAGTCCATCAGCACCTCTCACAGTAGTCCATCAGCACCTCTCAGTAGTCCATCAGCACCTCTCACAGTACTCTATCAGCACCTCTCACAGTAGTCCATCAGCACCTCTCACAGTAGTCCATCAGCACCTCTCACAGTAGTCCATCAGCACCTCTCAGTAGCCCATCAGCATCTCTCACAGCAGTCCATCAGCACCTCTCACAGTAGTCCATCAGCACCTCTCAGCAGCCCATCAGCATCTCTCACAGCAGTCCATCAGCACCTCTCACAGCAGTCCATCAGCACCTCTCACAGTAGTCCATCAGCACCTCTCAGTAGTTAAATCAGCAACTCTCACAGTAGCCCATCAGCATCTCTCACAGTAGTCCATCAGCATTTCTCACAGTAGTCCATCAGCACCTCTCACAGTAGTCCAGCACCCCTCGCAGTAGTCAATCATCGCCGCTCAGTGAAGCTAAACTTGAGTGGTTTAGCAGAGTTAAGCAGTAGGCGACACACAACTTCAATGTCGTCATACTTGTAATCAACAGTGAAGCGCTGCATCAGCTGTACACGAATAAATTATTACTATTATTAAAACGGTTTATTTTAGTTCATATGTAACACAAATTTATCTTAATTCTTATAAATTTGAGATGTATAGATTCTCCGTCATATCAATAAAACGAGAAATTACTGCCAATATTTAAAGTGTGACAACTTGATATTTTCAGGATACGGTTTCTGATCAAAAAAGCTGTTGGTTTCATCATTAACTATTATTACTATAATTATTATTATTAGTAGTAGTAGTATTATTATCATTAGTATTATTATCACAAAGTGCTCTCAGCCCATAAGAGTCATAACGGGTGAAAATCGTTAACCGGAAGGCTGGTCTGAGAACAGTCAGTAGGGGGAGACGATCTCTGAAATGATCAACTGGTTAACAATACGTAAAATAAATTCAGAATTTGAATCCTGTTTCAGATATGAATGCCAGCCATGGGCCTCCACATGCTGCGGATACCAATATGACGCGCATGTGTCTCATTAATTTCCTTTTTGATTTTGTATTCCGTTAAACATTGCCGTCAGCAAAATGGTTTTCGGAATACACCCAACTGGATTCCAGTATTTATAAGTTTCCATGTATTGTGTGTTTTAAAGGCTTCGTTGGGGAAATGAATGATTTCAAACGTCGTCTTTAACAGCATAAACATTATTATTGTCCTCAATACGTGTACGCATTGAGGACAATCATCAAGTTAATTTTAGTGATCCTAAAATAATACATACATTTTATTTATTTAATTTATATACAACTCTTAGTTCCGAGACAGACAGTATAATAACCTATGTGACAAGTCAAAATATCTTATTAATGAAAATAATATACCAGATATACTAAGTAAATTTCCTAAATTTGCTTGTAACAGGTAAGTGAACTGTAGATATAAATCCAAATGTACACCTATTAACCATTTTGGGACCTAGTTCCTAGGCCTTTTGTGTATCTCTATGCCCTTGCACTACCGTCCACAGGATGAATATGAGGTGCACAATAAACTAGCCACTTCGGTGGCAAAATCCAATCGAGACTAAGACTGGACCGCAGGGGCTATATTCAAAACCATCAATTTTTAAACTAGAGGATCACTTACCCTAACAAGGAAGGTGTACATCTCCTGTTCCGCGATGCGTCGACCGACGCACATCCTGGTGCCAGCGCCGAAGGGAAATAAGGAGTAAGGATGAATGGGACCCAGGGGCCTGTCTCTCATCCAACGCTCCGGCAGGAACTCCTTCGCTCGAGGGAAAAGTGATTCGTCCAAACCCATTAGCATGGTAACTACCATCACTGACCACTATGTAAGAAAAAAAGGCGTTAAAGTGAGATGATATTCATCAAGTTAACAAAGAATAATTCTTGGTCATTACCGACAAATGGTAAAGTAAAGGTGTTAAAATGGTAATTAACAGAGTATAAAAAAAGGTGTTAAAATGCTAATTAACAGAGTATAAAAAATTTGCCATAATTTACTTACAAACTGAAGGTGCATCTAGATGATGTTTCGGTAACTTAGGGATAATCAAAATAGGTATAATTAATGACAATTACTTGCAGTTTTAGGTGAAACTATGATCACTTTTGTGAAGGAAAGTACTGTATGGTTAATTATAAGGTGAATGTTACACACCCCTTTAGGAATTAAATATCCACTGATAACAAGTTCCTTATCCAAAGTTCTTGCTATGCCCATCACTGTAGGAAGAAGCCTGAAAATGATAACATGAACTACATGAGCATTCTGTCCTAATTATTGAATAGGCGGCGAGATAACGATTTTAAATTTTAAACAATATATATTTAAATAGCTTACATTTAATGGTGCATAAATAATAAATATGAGCAGCAAGTTTATTTCGCTGATTTGTTGCAAATACTGATATAAATATTATTGCTGTAAATGTATTTACTAATATGTTTGCAGTGATTACAGTAAGTTATACCTCATAGATTCTTTAACAACAGCCTTGAGGTAGTGAAGCTTAGCCAGGTGATGGTGTGTGAGTGGACCCTCGTGATCCCCGAGCACTGTATCAATCTCCTCTTGAACTTTTATCTGCACCTCCGGATGTCTGGCCAGCAGGTACATTACGAAGCTCAGAGTGTGTGACGTCTGAGGACATATTATAGAAAGATGCACAGATATAAGTGAAGGAACGCACATTATATGTTTTGTTGTATCATCAAATTATAAATACTGTAAAGAGAATAATATGGAGCGCTGTATTCAATTGGCCTTTGGAGAATGAACGTGCTAATTCACACTTTTGATGCCTTAATGATAAATAATTGCCCTCAAGTTCCAAATCTACATGAAATCCATCAACAAAGACAACACGACTGACTTGCGCTCACACCACTTCCCCCCTTCCCCCCCCCCCCCCCCCCCCAAAAAAAAAAAATAGCCATGAGGTTCCTGTGAAATGAATAGGGAAATGAAGTTCCCCATCATTTCATCAAGAACTTCAGGGAAAGGACAACAAATTCTAAGCGATACCTGGTAACAGAGTGAGCAGGATAGTTTAGTTGGGTTATCCTTCAAAAAGAAAAATCTGCTGTCACCAATTACACTTGAGTCAAACAGCATTGTGGTCACCCACCAAGCAACAAAAACATGAAGAGACATCACCAGGGCAACTACTCTCAGCAAGAGGGATGTCAGAGAGGAGCTCAACTATATAGCTGGTTGGGAATGTAGTCACTAACGAAGTAAATTATTAAATTACGGAACATTAACAAAAGGATTCAGAGATTATAGAGTATACTTGGCGCATACAACACTGCACAAGTCACCTCCCAGAACTCTCACTTTCCTGTCGTACTTAATTTACTTGGAATCGTTACACAACCCGCACATAGAAGACGTTTCGGTCCGACTTGCACCATTTACAAAGTCACACTAACAGAAACGAACGAACGAACGAAAGTTCGTTCGTTCGGGAGTATATATAGGCCAGCAGACATTGACGGGAGCAAGAGAGGTAATAATGGTGGTGGTGGTGGTGGTGGTGGTGGTGGTGGTGGTGGTGGTGGTGGGGGGGGGATAATAAAAGAACAAATACCCAAGGCAGAAGAAAGAAAACCCAAAGGGTTTTGGAATCGTTGAATTCCGAACAATAACAGGAGAATGCCTCTTCTGACTGATCTCAAACTTTTAGCAATAGTTAATTTCTATCAAAGGAACGTTCCCATTTATCTTGGGTTGAGTAAGTTTTTATTACATTGGTTTCCACGCAATAACTGGAGAACGACTCTTCTGAGTGAGTTCAAACCCTAAATGCTGGTATATCATAACTAGAGAAATTTCTGGATTGGTTTTTCTGTGTAGATGGTAAATTATGAATGCCTTATCCGATCGGCTTCAAATCTCCAAAGCTGATGTCTAAATTAAAGGAAGTCTTGAACTACTGCTGAAACTGTGGAGAATTTTCCATGAGCCTAATGGATGTCATGCTGAGTGTGGAGTGTGTATACAGTAAGCAGCGACTTGAGCGCAAAAATATAAACTAAGTATAAATTGTTTGTAAATGAAAAGACTGATACTGTTTTACCTCAGTAATAATTTAACCCCATTAGAGGGGTAAACCGGTAATTTACACAACGCAACTTTAGTTTTTTGTCTATTACAAACTAATCAGTAAATTCATATAAGTTATTCTCACTGTATCAACGCCAGCGAAGAGCATGTCGAGGATGAGGGTGACCACGTCCTTGCGGGAGAGTCCTGGCTTGAGGAGCAGTCCCTCCATCAGTGTCAGTTCCCGGTCATCACTAGGCTCCTGCGCCAGCAACGCCGCCTCCGTCTCTCGGATGTTTTTGTCCGCAATTCTGCACGATGTCAATATTTAAGTTCAAGCAATATTTAATCAAATAGAGTTCATCGTATACACATTTGACCCTAAGATATTAATAAGGAAAATGCATGTTCCATCAGCTACATCAAATTTTACAAATATTTGGTGTCAATACACCAAATATTATAGCAAAACTAAACAGGAAACACAAAGATGGGTGATATGCTTTAAGCTGTTACTAGCTAAAACTCTTTATGATGCCAGTTCATTTACTGTTATATTTCTTAAAACGTTCCTTAAGACATCTATAGTTAAACTGATATTAGCAAATATTTCAAATTTTTCACTGATTAATCCAAATATATGTCTGTTAGCACAGCTGCAATTTACTCTTGTCCTCATAATTAACAATTGGGCTTATGAATCATTACTGTTTTCCTGTCATCATCAGTTCCACAATACCCAACAACCTGTTTACTAGAGAAGCTTACAATGGAAGCTATTTTCTTAAGAAACAAATTTTAGTAAAATTAACGTATTTTTCTATAAGGTTGATAAATCAGCCAAAAAGAGTGTGCTATGATATAAACTGTAGACTGCATACGCCTGGCCTGCCTGAGTCATTTATTAAAAATATTTATGCTTAAATCTCACTAATGGATATAATACGAATAATTATAAAAAAAATATAATAATAAATAATTAATCAAAGTTATGTGAAAGCAGTTAGAAGCCAGATCTAAATACTAGTCTGACAGAGAAAACGAATGTTAAAAAAATTATGAATCAGCTTGCAATGTAAACCGACTGATATTGTATAAATGCATCTTAGGTTGGGTTTAAGATACACGTAGTAGTTAGGTATATACCCATCAAACTAACAAGAATAGGGTGCAGATCCAATTTTTTTCTCTCAAAAGTTCCTGAGCGGCGTGGAACCTTTCTGGAGAAGAGGGATGGGTGCACAATGAACTAGCCGCTCTGGTGGCAAAGATTAAGGAGTGTCTAATTACTTGATATAATACAAGAAACGAAGGCATACTGCCGACAGAAATACAGTGAGGTTATAATGAAAGCAAGCTTGAATCGTGATAACGTTTCACTGTATCAAGTTATTGACCAAATAAAACTATAAAGAGCGAAACGGTTTCACAATAAAGTTTATTCCTCACCTGTGTTTTTATGAAGACAACATTGCTCTCAGGCATAAAATTAAGAAAAATATCAGGAAGCTATCTGTCTCTCCAAACAGGTTTTTAATATATAAATTATTTAATATGTAGGTCCTAGTGCTGGAGCTTTTCCAGGCAGGATGCTTCAGTAAACAAGATGAAGATTCAGTGAAAAATCACCTACTCAAGGAATTCCTGGTGAGTCTTTTTGAGTTTCCTGAAAGCTGGGGTTGGGAACACCTTCCACAGATGAGGACCGAATTCTACCTCAGTCAGAGAAGTAAAGAGCTGATTTACCAGTCTGATCAGCCTTATGGGTTCGGAGTCCGGTGCGATATTTGGATCCAAACATCCCAGTCGGCGATTTAGGGCTACGCTGCCAACAGCTGTATAAATAAAAAAAAGGATAATGTATCATAATTTTAAAGAAAGCACTGTCATAATTATATGATTTTTTTATATTTTATTGAAAACGCTGCACAATACAAAAAGGTATAAAGTATAATAAATAGCCAAATGAATGTAAACTAAAATAAAATTTGTTGTCAACATTATTATATTACTTGAAAAGGTTAAATCCGAAAGAGCTATTCACTGGTAAATTGAAAGTAATACATTCGACATAAGAGTACACATCTTCCATCGGCAAAATATACGTTTCCTCCATCCTTTGAATTAATCTATTATTTATTCAAGACCTTGACATAAAGAGCTCTTTTGTGATCATTGTTGCCAAGAGTTACGTACATTCAAGAGCCCACTTGTACATCTCATTTAGGAAGTCACTTGGCATCTCTCCGAACTGTGACTGCAGAAATGCGATTCTGGAGGACGAGAGACAAAGATGTCAGCCAGAACTTCTGACCATTTATAAATCTACTTTAAAATTACTAACAGTATAATGGGAAATACTAAGTCTCCTAAGGATCACAGAGCGCCTGGGTAACAGAGGGTATGGAAACGTGATCATGGCGGGTAACTCCAGTCTTTTGAATCAAGAGCTCCTCACTAGATACTTCCCCAAATCCCAACCAAGAGGAACCAGCTTTGAAAGTTGACTGAAAAAATATGTGCACACACACACGAGCGGGATTTGTACAACGTTTCACCCAACACTTGGTTTCTCTCATGTAGTGAAAGTGGTATGGTGATAGTGACAAGGTGTAGGTTAAATATACGTACGCACTGATTAGAACACAAACGAAACTTTTCGCCACATGTGGCTCCTTCGGTCATAATAAGAAGCCACTTGATCAGTGCATACGTAAAGTGCTGTGCACATGTGAATTTTACCTTCCTTTAAAGCACTTAGAAAAGTCCAGTGTTGGCTGAAAGGACCCCTCCGTATTTGTGTCCTTTTCATCAGGTATCTACGTATTGCCAACTCCTGGCAAGTTGATCTTAATTGACCCTTACCCCACTAGCTTATCCAGGACATCCCTAACATACGTCGAATGTCTCTAGCATATATAAAGCCTTTCCTAATATAATAAACATATTTCTGAAATATCCAGGAACACCCTCATCTAGGAAATTCTTCACATATCCAGGATATCTGTAATATACCTATTTACAACCAACCTCACCCAACCAGGACGTGCCTCACCTTACCAGAAAATGGTTATATAATTTATAGTCCAACTCCAGCAGCGGGCCATCATATGACTAAAACCCGCGTCAGGAAACACTTGTCCTGTTTCCTAACAAATCTTACCTAATCTAACCTTACCAGGACATGTCTTCCCAAAACAGGATGTATCTAACCTGACCAAAACGTGTCTCACCTAACAGGGATGTGACTTGCCTAACCAGGATGCTTTACCTGTCCATGAACTCCAAAGAAATCTGATCCATGACAGGCAGGTAGGCCACCACCTCCTTGACTCTCATCATAGAAGGCTGAACTCGGCTGCGTACTCTCCACCACTCCTCGCCATTCCTGGAACATAATCATATAATTAATACTAATTATTGTGACTGCGTATAATAAAGGTACCTTTACAAAAAAGAAGTAATGAAAGAGATACTGATCTGATAAGTGTCAACGTACTCGGTCATTATTCCAGTTTTGCCTTCAAAATAGCTGTCTGCAGTCTGCAGTCTAATCATCTTCAAGGAGTCGAACCCCTGCCTGAGTGATGCGTCCATTGTGGCTCGTACGAGGTTCTCAGCGTCGTATGGGTTAGTTATGCATATCATCGGCAGTGTGAACGGCGCTGTCAGTTTAATGATAGGGCCGTGAATCTCTATCATCTTTTTAAAGTAGAGATGAAGCTTGTTACTACTGAAGGCTGTGAAGAAAAATGACATTATTACTATTATTATTATTATTATTATTACAATCAAAACTAAGCGCTAAATAATATTATTATTTTATTCATCAAAGCGCACCCTAGGTGGGTCGTTTAGCGCAGATATTACTTTTTAAAGCTAATCTTTAACTTTATAGTAACACCGAAGACGCTCAGAGGTATTTACTACCGTTTTATCCTGTAATGCCAGTGAATATTAAATAGTGTCGCTTATGGATATGCAGTAATGTTATTGCGATTAAAAATATGTTCTCAGCCAACATTTTCTCCATATAAACAATATTTTTTTCTGACTTGTTCATAGCTATCTTCCATGAATTATTCTACTAATGTTTTTGTGATTGTCAGGTAAATCTTTTAACTAATCAGTCTTCTGTTTTTCCTGTCCCGTTGATATCAATTATCATTTAGTCACTAAATGCTGATAACGTACATTTGTCAAAGATTATGGAAGGCAAACAACCAAGGAGTGGGTACACCCTAGGTCCGGGAACTTCTGACACTGGTTTAGGCTCTGAGGTCCGTTGTTCTGCTGCTGTTATTTGGCGAGTAGCAGCTATGGTAGTGAAGACTCGGGACAGTGGGGGCCATTGTGTTCTCACTACCACACACTTCCCCACTCGACATGACCTGGGGACAAAGGGAATTCATACGTTATCGAGATTATTCATTTTGCGTTTACAGCGCATTCAATTAAGAGGAAATTTCACTTAAAATTTAAGGGCACAAAAAAAACAGAGATTCTTCGATTCCTTGTTTTATTATTATTACGTATTATTATATGTATTATATATTATTCTATTAAGGGTGGGTCCACCTCTGGTGTAAATTGTGGGACCCATAGCCTCGGAGAAGTGGATAAAAAAGGCTTCAAGAAGAATATTTGGATTTCTTCCTGAAGCCATTTGAAATATTCCACTTCCCCTACCACCCCATCTTTTGAACTATTTTTTTTTTTTTTTTTTTACCAATAGGAATATTTTATTACATAATATGGCACAGAAGATTTAAGAGATACATTGTTGATATATAAAGGTGGCATATACGGTACATGTTGTTACGTGTGTATCACCGATTATAAGGCGAAAATCTCATCCAGCTCCTCAGAGCTGGGCGTGTGCCCAAAAATGCAGCATGCATTACCCCTTTGAACAGCCGCACTGAGCCGCTGGAACAGAAAACTAGCTGCCCTGGGATCCCTAGTTACCCTGATGAGTCTTTTTCCCCAACTCCTTAAGGAAATTAGATGCACTCTTTCCCCCATGAGCCAAGGGTCTCTGAGCCTATGGAACAAACATATAATGATGGGCAAGTTTCTCCATATTTTCTAGACTTTTGGGACTCCCTAAAGCTGGCAGCTGCCCCTCCTTCCTCCCTGGTGTATTGGAGATAGGTATCAGCCAAGGTAGATGCACATGTATAGTCCCACACCACCTGCTTCCCATCTGTCCAGGCTTGAAGGGTGATACCATCTGGACGCTTCTGGCTGCCATCAGATCTGCATAGTTGGGGTGGCTCCCTTACTGCTGGGCATCCAGCTGTTGTGAGGCTCCTCTTGATAATGTTATTAACCTCCTCATGTCTTGCAATCTTTCCCTCGGATTTACGGCACACAAGACCATGGTACCCGAATCGGTCTGCTGCTTCACTGCCACAAATACACTATTTTATTATTATTGTTTTATTATATACCCTGGCAGAAGTCATAACCTGTTTTGTTCAGCTCTCTTATGTACCGTTTCCATATTTCATTAATTTTAATTAGCGGAAGCGCTAAATCCATAAGTTATATAGTGACTGGGAAATGGGAGGCAAAAAAAAAAAAAAAAGTTCCCCTCACCAATATCAAGGTATATCCTCAAGTTCAGACACTGACTCCTGTTGGTGTCTATCACGGAAGAGTAAATATACCCAGGTGTTGTGTATGTATACTGACAACAGTAATTTGACTCGTGGTGTAAAAGTTATGTGCAGCCTAATGACCCTCGTGTAGTCGATAGCCTTTAAACTCACTTAACCAATCAGCCATCTATCCGTCACTTTGGGTGGACCAAACTCCAGCTCAGATCAATGGAAGAACTTTCCGTCTCACAACCGAAGGATCCAGGTTCAACTCTGGGCAAACCTCTTCACAATTTTCGCTCCTGTTTATCTAGCATTTATTACTACTACTACTACTACTACTACTAGTAGTAGTAGTAGTAGTAGTAGATGATGTTCAATATGAAGGGCTAAACCTGTAAGGGTCATACACAACTTAGGAATGGGAGACAATCAGGATTCATCTAAGAAAGAGAAGGCAATTCAAATTCACACTACTACTACTACAATTATTATTATGATAACAATGATAACGATTACAAGAAAGCGGTAAACTCATAAGGCTCAATCAGCACCTGCGGAACTGAATGAGTGAGAAGTAATCAGGTTTGATCTGAGGAGAGGAGGGACATTCCATGATGAAGACACCTGTGGAAAATTTTTTAATTTTCCGAAACTATAGTGCCTAATAGGTGTTTAATGTGTCTATATGGGTCAAAAATGTATTTGAAAATAAGAGTAGAACCAAGAGTTCCCTTTGCGCATGCGCGGATGTGCGGGGGGGGGAGGCGCGGATTGTTTTGAAGGTGGTGAAGAAGCTGAGAAAGCATGGAACCACGAAATTGACATTCACGGCGGCCTAAGGATAATATAGGCCTCATTTCATAATAAGAAGTGTCGTAACTGTTCCTGGTGGAGAGTGAGGGACGTGATTTACGGGACCATGTAATAGAGTGGTAAAAAGTGTGATAAGAGTAGGACGGGTGGCAGGTGCACGGCCAGGTGGTCCAGGGGACATACCCGTGTGTTATCCTTGCTCATCGGCCTCAGATCTTAATGGAGTGACCAATTTGAAAAGTTAGGGACAAAAGTTTGATGGTAAAAATGTGATAATAACGGTTTAAAAGGGGCGGTTGAAAAAGGGGGGTTCCCGGTGAAATTCTCTCGGGTTTACAGAAATTTAAATACCCTCAAAATTTTTTTAAAACAAAAATTTGAGGTAGTAAAGGGAAAAAACCCAAATTTTGAGGGGTTGTGGGGGGGAGGGGCCCCCCACTTTGTTTCCCGACACGGTATAAATTCCTCTTAAACCTTTTATCTGCACCCCGGGGGTTCCTTGGCCAGCGGGTTTACATTAAAAAATCTCAAAAGTGTGGTGACTTTCTGGGGAAACATATTTTTAGAAAAGATGCACAGATATAATAAAGGGGAACGCCCCAATTATATGTTTTGTTTTTTATCATCAAATTTATAAATACTGTAAAGGGGAAAAATTTTTGGAGCGCTGTATTAAATTTGGGGCCTTTGGGGGAATTTAAAACCGTCCCAAATTTCAAAACTTTTAAATTGCCTTAAGATAAAAAATTTGGCCCTCAATTTCCCCCAAATCTACATAAAAATTCCAAATCACAAAGAAAACCCACGCCGCCCTTGCCTAAACACCATTTCCCCCCCTTTCCCCCCCCCCCCCCCCCCCCCCCCAAAAAAAAAAAATAGCCATGGGGGTTTCCTTGAAATAAAATAGGAAATGAAGTTCCCATCTTTCATCAAGAACTTCGGGGAAAAAGGACAAAAAATTCTAAGGGGATCCCGGGTAACAGAGTGAGCGGGATAGTTTATTGGGTTACCCCTTCAAAAAAAAAAATCTGGGTCACCTTTAAACACTTGAGCCAAACAGCATTGGGTCCCCCACCAAGCAAAAAAAACCATGAAGAGAATCACCGGGGCAACATTTCTCAGCAAGGGGATGTCAAGAGGAGCCCACTATATAGCGGGTTTGGGGGAATGTAGTCCCCCTAACGAAGAAAAAATTATTAAATTAGGGGAACTTTAAAAAAAAAGGATTCAGAATTATAGAGTTTTACTTGGCGCATACAACACTGCACAAGCCCACCTCCAAAACTCTCACTTTTCCTGTCGTACTTAATTTACTTAATGGGTTCCCCAAACCCCACATAGAAGCCCGTTTCGGTCCGACTTGCCCCCATTTACAAAGTCCCCACAAACCCAAAAAAACGAACAAACAAACAAAAGTTCGTTCTTTTCGGGAGTATAATAGGCCAGCAGACTTTTGACGGGGGGCAAAAAGGGGTTTAAAAAAATGGGGGGGTTGGTGGTGTTGGTGGTGGTGGTGGGGTGGTGGTGGGGGGGGGGGGAATAATAAAAAAACAAATCCCCAAAAGGCAGAAGAAAAAAAACCCCAAAAGGGGTTTTTTTGGAATCTTTGGGAAATTCCAAACCCAATAACAGGAAAAATGCCCTTCTAAACTGTTTCTCAAACTTTTAGCAATGGGTTTTTTTCTATCAAAGGAACGTTCCCTTTTATTTGGGTTTGGAGTAATTTTTTTTTTCTTTGGTTTTCCCAAAGCAATAACGGGGAAACGACTCTTCTGAGTGATTTCCAAACCCAAAATGCTGGTATATCTTTAACTAGAGAAATTTCTGGTGGTTTTTCTGGTAGGGGGAAAATTTAAAAAATGCCTTTTTCCGATCGGCTTAAAATCCCCAAAAAGCTGATGTCAAAATTTAAAGGAAGTTTTAAAACTACTCCCATAAATGGGGTTTTTTTCCAGGGAGCCAATGGATGTCATCCCTGATTTGGGGAGTGTGTATACAGAAAGCAGCGACTTGAGCGAAAATTTTTTAAAAAACAAAGTATAAATTTTTTGGGAAAAATGAAAAGACTGATACTTTTTTTTTAACCCTCAGTTAATTTAAACCCCATTAGGGGGGTTTAAAAACCGGAAATTTTTTACAAAAACGAAATTTTAGTTTTTGGTCTATTAAAAACCCTTAATCAGAAAATTTCCCATAAAAGGGTTATTCTCACTGTATAAACCCCAGCGAAGAGCATGTCTGGGGATGGGGGTAAACCACCCCCCCTCGCGGGGAGAGTCCGGGCCCTTGAGGGGGGAAGTCCCTCCATCAGTGCCCGTTCCCGGGCATCCTAGGCTCCTGCGCCAGCAAGCCCGCCTCCGTCCTCGGATGTTTTTTTTTCCGGGCAATTCTGCCCCATGTCAAAATTTAAGTTAAAGCAAAAATTTAAAACCCAAATGGGAGTTCTTCGTTTTACACATTTGACCCTAAAAATTTAAAAAGGGAAAATGCATGGTTCCATCAGCAACATCAAATTTTACAAATATTTGGTGTCAAAAAACACCAAAAAATTATAGAAAAACTAAACGGGGAAACACAAAGTTGGGGATATTTTTTAAGCTTTTACTAGCTAAACTCTTTATGATGCCAGTTAAATTTCCCTGTTAAAATTTTCTTAAAACTTTCCCTTTAAGGGCACCCTTATATTTAAACCGGGAATATTAGAAAATATTTCAAATTTTTCCCCTGATTAATCCAAATATATGCCCTTTTTAGCACAGCTGCAATTACCTTGTCCTCATAATTAAAAATTTGGGGGTTTTTTAAGAATCTTACTGTTTTCCTGTCTTCATCGTTCCAAAATTCCCAAAAACAACCTGTTTACTAGAAAAGTTACAATGGAAGCTTTTCTTAAGAAAAAAATTTTAGAAAAATTAAAACTTTTATTTTTCTATGGGGTTTGATAAATCACCCAAAAAGAGGTGTCTATGTTTAAAACTGTAGACTGCATACCCCTGGTTTCCTGAGTCATTTATTAAAAATTTTTAAAGTTTAAAATCTCACTAATGGATATAATACAAAATAATTAAAAAAAAAAATATAATAATAAAAAATTTAAATCAAAGTTATGTAAAACCCTTTTAGAAACCCCCAAAATTCTAAATACTAGTTGACAGGGGAAAACCCGAATGAAAAAAAATTTTTGAATCAGCTTGCAATGTAAACCGACGATATTGTATAAATGCATCTTGGGGTTGGGGGTTTAAAGGGTTACAGTAGTAGTTGGGGTTTTATCCCCATCAAACAAACAAAAATTTAGGGTGCAGACCCAAATTTTTTTTTCTTAAAAAGTTCCTGGGGGGCGTGGAACCTTTTGAAGGGGAGGGGGTCACAATGAAAAACCTAGCCGCCCCTGGGGGCAAAGATTAAGGAGTGTTTTAATTTAAATTTTGGGTTTAAATACAAGAAAACAAAGGGCAACTGCCGCGGGAAATACGGGGGAGGTTAAAATGAAAGCAAGCTTGAATCGGGGATAACTTTTTCACTGTATAAAGTTTTTGACCAAAAAAAAACTATAAAGAGCAAAAACGGTTTTCACAAAAAAGGGTTTATTCCTCCCCTGTGTTTTTTTTGAAAAAACCCAAATTGCTCTCAGGCTTTAAAATTAAGAAAAATTTATCGGGAAGGGCTATCTTTCTCTCCAAACGGGTTTTTTTAATATATAAATTATTTAATATGTGGGTTCCTAGTGCTGGAGCTTTTCCAGGCAGGATGCTTCAGAAAAAAAGATAAAGGATTCAGTGAAAAATCACCTATTCAAAGGAATTCCGGGGTGAGTCTTTTTGATTTCCTAAAAGCGGGGGTTTTGGGGAAAAAACCTTCCACAGATAGGCCCCAAAATTTTTACCTCAGTCGGGGAAGAAAGAGCGTTTACCAGTCGGATCACCCTTTAATGGGTTCGGGGGTCCGGTGCGATATTTGGGTTTCCAAACACCCCGGGTCGGCTTTTGGGGCCCTTCGTTTCCCAAACAGCTGTAAAATAAAAAAAAGGGAATAATGAAATCAAAATTTTTTTAAAAGAAAGACTGTCATAATTATATAAATTTTTTTATTTTTTTATTAAAACGTGCACATTACAAAAAAAAATAAAATAAAAAATTTCCCCAATTTAATTTTAAACTAAAAAAATTTTTGTTGTCAAAATTATTATATTACTTGAAAAGGGTTTTTAAATCCAAAAGAGCTATTCTTTGGTAAATTGAAAGAAATACTTGCCCATAAGAGTACACATTTTTCCTTTCCGGAAAAAAATTTTAGGTTCCCCCCATCCTTTGAATTTAAATCTATTATTTTTTCCCAAAAAACCTTGACATAAAAGCTCTTTTGTGATCATTGTGCCAAGGTTACGTACATTCAAAACCCACTTGTACATCTCATTTGGGGAAGTCACTTGGCATCTCTCCGAACTGGGGACTGAAAGAAATGCGATTCTGGAGGGACGAGAGAAAAAGATGTCAGCCAAAAACTTCTGACCATTTATAAACTATTTTAAAATTACTAACATTTAAAATTTGGGAAAAATACAAACGTCCCCAAAGGATCCAGAGGCCCCCTGGGTAACAGAGGGAAAATTGGAAACGTGACAGGGGGGTAACCCCAGTTTTTTGAATAAAAGGGGTCCTCACTAGATACTTCCCCCAAAACCCCAAACCAAAGGAACCCAGCTTGAAATTTGACTAAAAAAAATTTTTGTGCAAAACACACACGAGCGGGATTTGTAAAACGTTTAAACCCAACACTTGGTTTCTCTCATGAAATTTA